CACGTGCTCAGGTCTGGATGAGTTGTATACCAGGCTGCTATGGAGACAAGGGACAAAATTACAAGAAATCTGACCCAAACTTTTAATTGCTCTCTGGCTATTAGGGAAGCACTGAAGGACTGTGAAGACAGGTAATGCGGTTCCACTTTTCAAAAAAAGGGATGAACCAGGAAATTACCTGGTGAGACCAGTGAGTGTCACATCAGTGGTAGGGAGAAAATTCTGAAGGAAAGAATTAATCTCCACTTGAAGAGGCAAGGTTTGATTAGGATAGTCAGCATGGCTGTGGCAGAGGGAAGCCATGCCTAACAAATCTGACTGAATTTTTTGAAGAGATGACCAGGTTAGAGATGAGGCTAGTGCAGTTGATGTAATTTGTAGGAGTTTCAGAAAATCCTCTGACAGGGTCCCACATGGAAGACTGATAATGAAGATAAAAGTACATGGGATCCAGGGTAACTTGGCAATTTAGATCCAAAATTGGCTTAACGGTAGGGGGCAGGGGGTGGTTGGTAGAAGGCCATTTGTCTGACGTACAACAGGGATCAGTGCTTGGTCGCTTATTGTTCATGATATATATACACGTTACAGAAGAAAATGTAGGGAGGATGATAAACGAGGGGCATGAGTCAAAGATTGGCCAGGTGGTTGATAGTGAGGAAGAAGGTCTTAGGTTACAGGAGGACATACACAGATTGGTCAGGTGGGCAGATCAGTGGCAGATGGAATTTAACCCCAAAGACTGTGAGGTGATGCCCTTTGGAAGCAGTAACAAGACAAGGGAATACACAATGTACGGCAGGACACTAGGAAGTTCAGAGGACAGAGGGATCTTGGGGACTTCTCCACAGATCTCTGAAAATGACAGGACAGGTTAATAAGGTATCTAAGAAGGCATACGTCTTTACCAGTTGTGGCACAGATTGTAAGAGTAGGGTGGTTAAGTTGAAGCTGTACAAAACTTTAGTTAGGCCACAGCTGAAGTACCATGTGCATTTCTGGTCACCACACTATAGGAAGGATGTGAATGCACTGCAGGAAGTGCAAAGGAGATTCACCATTATGTTGCCCGGGAGGGAGCGGTTTAGCTATGATGGGAGCATGGATAAGCTCAGGTTGTTTTCTTTAGAGCACAGGAGGCTGACCAGATTGAGGTGTAAAAGATTATGAGGGACATGGACAGTTGGATAGAAAGCAGCTATTCCCTTTAGCAGAAGGGTCACTAACCAGGAAGCATAATTTTAAGTTGAAGGGTATGAGGTTTAGAGGAGATGTGGGGGAAACATTTTTCATCCTGAGGATGGTTGGGTACCTGGAATACTCTTGTATGGGAGGATAGCTTAGGTGAGAAACCATATAACCTTTAAAAGGTATTTGGATGAGCACTTTGAAATGCCACAATATTCAAGGCTATGAGCTCAATGCTGGAAAATGAGACTTGTGTAGATTTATAGTAGCTTTTGTCTGCAGATTTGATGGGCCAAAGGCCCTCATCTGAAATGTATGGTTCCATGAACTGGTGGACATGACGTATTTGGATTTTTCCAGTTTTCAATACAATCCCACACAATTAAAGGGACTTGAGATTGGAGGTAAGATAGCATGGATTGAAGAATGGTCAACAGGCAGAAACCTCAGAGTAGGAATAAAGGTCTAATTCTCAGATTGGCAGGCTGTGGCCAGTGAGGTATCATCAGGATCAATGCGTATTTATCAGCTATTCATAATTTTGCTCAGTGATTTGGAAACCAAAGTAACATTTCCAAATTTGTCAATGTCACAAAAATGTGTGTGGGAATCTGAGTTTTCAGGATAATGCGAAGAAGTTTCAAGGTATTTAGACAGGCTGAATAGGGAAGCATAAACATGGCAGATGGAATATAATATGGATAAGTCTGAGGTTATCCACTTTGGAAAGAGGAACAGAGGTGCCAAGTATTTCTTAAAATGGTGGAAGATTGAGAAGTGCTGATTTCCAAAGGAAACTTACGTGCCTTTGCTCATAAGTCACTGAAAGCTAGCCTGTAGATGTACTAAGCAATTCGGGAGGTAAACTGTACTTTCGTTTGAATTTGATCATAGGCTGTGGGCATCAATGGCTAGGCCAGAATTTATTGTCCATCCCTAATTGTCTTGGTGACGCCACAGTATGTTGGCCTTTATCACAAGAGGATTTGATACAGGAGTAAAGGTTTCCCTCTCCAATCATATAGAAGCTTGGTTTTTAATCCACCTAGAGTACTATGTGGAATTCTGGTAATATTGCCTAAGGAAGAGTAAAATTTCCTTAGAAAGAGTGTAGTGAAGGTTCACTGCAGACTAATTCCAGGGATAGCAGGAATGTCCTATAAAAAGAGGTTGCGGCATTAAAGTTTAGAAGAAGTCAAAATTGTAAAATGACAGACAGGTAGACACACAAAATAATAATTTTCTGAGTTCTGGATCCTAGGTTTGAGATTTAGGCTTGAGATAAGCATGATATTTCTTCACTTGGAGGATGGTGAATCTCTGGAATTCTCTATCACAAAGAACTACAGAAGCTTGATCTTTTCAATATTGTGCTGATCTTCAAACAGAGAAAGGCAATGTTAAGAATCTAATCAGTAACAGACTTAACAGCAAAGAAAAACAATGTTCTTGACCAATAAACAGATGTGGAAAATAACCGACCAGTCCCAATCTGTATTCAAGGACCATAAAACTGCAGGCATCTCAATAACCTCACTTCAGTCAGTAACATGCAAGAACTATAAAGGTCCCAAATAAAATAATCTGTCACATTCAAAGTCAGTGAAGATTTGTGTTTTTTGTTTAAGCAAGATCAAACACAGCCATATGAAGAAACATCCCTCTCAGAAGCCTTTTGGTGTTGAACTATGAAGTTATTGACTATATCTTAACATACTATTCCTTCACTTCTTGAGAGCTCCATTGGTGAACACACTCAGTGTTCCAATACTGATCAAAGCAGGTAAGGAAAGTTTTCATCCCTGATCGGCACCAAGCTAAGTGATCACAACAAAAATAACTGATAAATGGCCTCAGTATCTGATCTACGGAGAAAGATTTAAGGGAAGGAGGTGATAGTTTTTACTATAATTGTTGATCTCTATCAAGTACCCTGGGTTCTGTTGTGATTACTGGAAGTGTTCGGCATTCTCTCAACATCATCTCTTGCAGACGAATCCACAAAGCACCCAGGAAAATCCACTTATGGGTGGTATAACCAAGCAAAGAAAGTCGCCCTCCCCACAAACATAATGGAAGGAAATGGTGAGGTGCTGTGCCTCCAATCACAGGCTGGTTCTAAGCCGGCTGTGGCAGAGTCACTGGGAGGGTCAGCAGCAGGAGCCCAAGACCTGAGGTGTGGGTGTTGGGCACCAGGCTCCAGAAGTTGGAGGACTGAGTTCTGGGTGCAGGAGCAATCTGTCATTTTACCAAGAGTGGGAGGGAGAGCCAAGGCTGGAATTAGCCACTTTATTGACTCCGGGAAGGGGAGTTGAAGCCGCTTTTTTTTTAAACCATGGCAGCCATGACGCTCACTCAGCAGGGGTTGGGGGTCTGCAGGACTGAGCGAGAGGAGAGACTGAGCGAGACACAGATCGGTAGGTTGATAGGGTAGAAACAAGCTTGACAGCCAGAGGTGGGAAGTTAGAGACACAGGCTGCAAGGGCTGTGATGGAAGAGAGAGAGAGACAGACAAAATAGGAGGCCAGAAAGACAATGAAAAGAGACACAGAGGCTTAAGGACAGGGAAGGGGGACAGATTTGGGAAAAGAAAGAAAGAGAGAGAGAGAGAAAAGGGTTGGAACACAAGGCTGCAAAGAAGAGATCCTAACCTGTCAACATAAGAATATGAGCTAACTAGAAGGAAGGAAAATGTGAAATCTCTGAGGTAACAAACTACTTAAAGAGGAGTATGTACTCTCTAGCTTAAGGCTACATGTGATCAGGAGCAGTTCAGGTGGAGAATGTAATGGTACTATTATGTCAATTGCTAAATTTAAATCTGAGAAGTGAAAGAGAAGTAACCAATGAAGTCCATATACTCTATGTCAACACAGATACAGAAAAGAATGCAATGGCTGCAACTGCTAAATAAAGGAAATAGTGAGAATAAAAAAGCAGCCTTTGAAAACCAAATGTTAGTCCCCAAAACCAAGAAGGTAACCTTTGAGAAAAACTATATTTTGCATCCTGAGTTAAAGCACTAACAAGTTGCAACAGTCTCCTTTTCAATTCCATTCTAAGATGAGAAGTAATCAGTTGTCAAGTTTCTTTTGAAAAAGTGAATTACAACAATCTGTTCAAGAAATGCAGTAGATCTGGCAGCACCTATGGAGAGAAAGCAGAGTTAATACTTCAGGTCTTGTGACGCTTCTTCAGAATAGTTCTGAGAACTGAAGAAGGGTCACTGGACCCAAAATGTTAACTCTGCTTTCTCTCCACAGATGTTGACAGACCTGCCGAGTTTCTCTAGAAATTTCTGTTTCTGTTTCAGATTTTCAGCTCCTGTAATTCTGCTTTTTTTTTTTGCAATGACCTGTTGCATGTTGAAAACAAACAAACCAACCCAAAAGCAGCTCTGAGTGGAGCCATTTATCAAAACAAGTTCAAATTCTAAATCAATTTGATTCATTTCCAGCAAGCTGTTCAACAAGTATTATGTTAGAGCCGTAGAGACAGTGATACTAATACAGGTTGCACTTTATAGATATTAAGATCAACTGAAAAACTGTAGGGTAGACAAGTTAATATATTATTCTTCTGATGACGATGAATCAAATTTGCAATCCTCAATTATTGTTATTGATCAAGACAAAATGAAACAGGCCAGTATTCTTGGAACCCATTTTATTTTAAATCAATCATTCCTACTGCTTTGAACATTTGAATCTTCACTAGTGGATTACATTCATACGCTTTTTGCAGCAGCTTTCCAACAATACTCGGAATGACACTAGATTGAATATAAGGAAACATGAATGGAATAAACATACCTGAGATTTGGTCCCAGGTGTCATTGGAGTCTCAAAATTATTCAAGTCCCAGATGTAGATTTCAGACTCATTGGCTCCTGATGCTACAAGGTTACTCTGGTCAAAAGAAGCAATTAATAATTCATTAGGTGAATAGGAAACATTACCTGGACAACTCTAAAAAAGGCAAGTTACACGTTTGCATGACCTCAGCAATCCCTTCAGCTAAAGCAGATTTTTTTTCAAATGCATCAGAAGTTCATTAGTTAAAATTAAAATAAACAAATATTTCAGATACTACTAAGCCTCATTATAGCAATTCTAGTAAAAGATTACACCCAAAATATTTCAGAGATAACAAGAACTACAGATGCTAGAGTCAGAGATAAGACAGTGTGGAGCTGGAGTAACATAGCAGGTTAGGCAGCATCAGAGTAGCAGGAAAGTTGATGTTTCGGCTCAGGACCATTCTTCAGAAAACTTTCCCGCTCCTCTGATGCTGCCTGACCTGCTGTGTTCCTCCAGCTCCACACTGTGTTGTCACCGAAAATAGTTGCAATTTTTCTTTTTTTCTCCAAGTTTAACAGATAGCATTTTATTTCTCTTCCTTTTTGTTGCATCACAGACATTCTCTAGAGATGCAATTCCATAAGTTGATTACAATGACAGCAGAATAAAATGTCCCTAAATTAAAACTGTGGGGGTGGGAATAAACAAGTGTAAATGCAAACAATTTTAAATGCAAAGCGATAATGCATCTGAAAAAGAGTTGGAGAAGCAACCTACTCCTTTTTGACTTAATGATGGTGTTAAATGCCTTACTTCACACTTTCCATATTTCTTTTTACTGCATATTTCCATACTTTTCTTACTGCCTTTTATTATTCTTTATTTTTAAATAGTCATTCTTGTGTTCAACTCCCTAAACCCCCAATAGTTCACCCTCCTTCTCTAAACTGCCCTAAACTAACAACCTTCTAAGAATTCAATGTTCATGCAACTTTATTATCTTGGGCGCTTTCATTCTTTTCATCCCCTTAATTAGACCTGCATCTTCAGTTGTCTAGGCCTCAGTGACCTGTCTAAAGCTCCTACTTTGGGGAGTAGTTATAAAAGCCAGCATTCATTCACCTCTTCATCTTGACAATCATAGAGTCTTACAACATGGAAACAGACCCTTTGGACCAACCATGATCCCAAATTAAACTAGTCCCACATGCCTGCGCTTGGCTCATATCCCTCCAAACCGTTCCTATTCATGAACTTATCTAAATGTCTTTTAAATGTTGAAACTGCACCTGCATCTACCACTCTCTCTGGAAGTTCATTCCACACACAAACCACTCTGTGTAAAAAGTTGCCTCTCCTGACTTTTTTAAAATCTTTCCCTTCTCACCTTAAAAATATGCCCCCGGTTTTGAAAATCTCACCCTAGAGAAAAGCATCTTGTCATTCACCTTATCTGTGCTGCTCCTGATTTTATAAACCTCAATAAGGTCATTCCTCAAGCTCTAACACTCCTGTGAAAGAAGTCCCAGCCTTTCCAGTCTATTTTTATATCTCAAACCCTCCATGCCCAGCAACATCTTGGTTAATCTTTTCTGAACCCTCTCCAGTTTAATAATATCCTTCCTGTAACAGGATGACAAGAACTGCACAAAATACTGCAGAAGAGGCCTCACCAGCATCCTGGACCATTGCAACATGACGTCCCAACTCCTATACTCAAAGGTCTGAGCAATGAAGGTGAGCATGCTAAATGCCTTTTAACTATCCTGTGGTGGTCTGTGATGCAAATTTCAAAGAATTGTATACCTAAACCCACAAGTCTCTCTGTTCTACAACACTACCCAGGGCCCTACCATGAATTGTTAAAGTCCTGTCCTTGTGTGTATTACCAAAATGCAATACCTCACATTTATCCAAATTAAAGTCCATCTGCCATTCCTCAGCCCACTGACCCAATTGATCAAGCTCACTTTGTAACCTTAGATAACCTTCTTCACTCTCCACCGTACCATGAATTTTTGTGTCATCTGCAAACTTACTAACCATGCCTCCTATATTCTCATCCAAATCATTTATATAAATTACAAGTAAAAGTGAACCCAGGAGAAGAACTTCTAAAGGCATTTTTGTCCAAACATTAGCATACCAAGCACAGACCTTACCCAACACAAAATAGTGTGAATGGTGGAAACCTGAAAGTAAAACAGAAAAAGGCTGGAAACACTCAGCAGGTCAGGCAACATCTGCGGAAAGAGAAACAGAGTTGATGTTACATGTTTGTGAAATACATGTTTAACCTTTACCAGTTCAGGGAAAAATGGTCATAGCCTCATGTGTCCGCTCCACAAATGGTACCAGAGCTCACACCTTCCCCATTGTCTCACCTCCCCTATTGATAAGGTCTATGAGGGCTTTCTTGACTTGGTTTCCAAAAATAAAAAAAAAATGGTTTTTGTTCAATTCCCAAGAGGCTTTTCACATTTTAGGCCCATTGCATAATATATCTGTTGTATATTTCCACAAATTTTTGACTTACCTCACGGTAACATAAACCATTTCTACATCCTGTCTTAACACCAGCGCTGTGCTCTGACAATGTGTATGAGATCCAAATGTAAACCAAACTTCCATTTTCCTCTATAAGGCCTTCCACACTTTACCAGTATGCAGTACAGAGATGAAAATGGGCCAAATAGCTAGGGCCTGAAGTTACTCTAATCAAAGATTAAAAAAGGCTGAAAACTCAATGCTGCTCCTGAAGCTTGCATTGACTTTCAATGAAACAGACTAGACGAGCAAGGACTGAGAGGCCATTGTAGAAATAAAAGGAACAGTTGAAGAATATTATATTACAGTCCTACAAGACCACCTTGGGGACAAGAAAACTCTGAAATTCCTACCTAAAGGTAGTGCAAACCTACGCAGACCACAACAGTTCAAGGAAGTGGCTGTCCACCATCACCTTCTCAAGGGTAATGGGACAGAGATAAGAAATGCAGGCCTCATCAGAATGAAGGAATAAAGAAAAACAAAAAGACCCTGTCCACGTCTCTAAACAAGACAACTGCTTTTAAAAATAGTAACAAAGCGAATCACCCTCAATCTTCTCTGCCTATCTACCATAATCTAACTAGGTCAGCCCCATGCATATCTACAATGACACAGTGGCAAGCATCACTGATGGGACCATAGGACTGAATTACTTTTCAATAATTGTTAACTTTGTCTTCATTAGCAGTGAGGGATTAAATAATATTCTGATTGAGTTCAGTTGTTAAACAGCTTATTTTAGGAAGAAATCATACCCTTGGTTAAAGGGTTTATGGTTTAATTAAAAATGTTTTATGGCTTAAGCTGATGTAAACCTAGGCCAACAAATGAGAAAGTTATTTTGAACTGGACATAGTTTTTACTTAAAGACACAGCTGTGTTTTAAAATAGCGACTTAAAGTCTGCAATAGGCCTATGTGTATTAGTTGATGTCGTTATTTTGAGTTTTAATTAGTTTTAGGTGTCAACAATTATTGTCGAGTTTCACATCGATTATTGATAGATTTTGCAGAATTCTTAGATTACAATTTAGGATGACTAGCCAAATGAAGTTCAGGATATTTTTGATCATGCAGAAGGGAGTAGTGGTTAATAATTGGCGTTCCAATGCCCAAGAACGAAGATCAAAGGTAGAAGAACTTCATTCAACAAAACAGAACAAGATATCGGTGCCCAGTAAACCAGCGGTGCAACTGGTATTCTGAAGTGGATCAATTGAAAAACCATTGCCTTATTAAGTATAATTTATTCTGAGCTTGCTTTGATAAACTTCTGTCAAATTCTGAAAACATATATGTACCTGGAATAGGCCTTGTAACTAATCAGGACTAGCAAACTTCAGATTGAACTTGAAAGAACCAGTCTATAATTTAGTTGTAAGACATACATCAATTGCAAGTTAAAATGCACCCCAAAATCCGAGACTAGAAGTGCACCAGAATATGCATTGCCACAAAAATGGCTTGGACCACTGCCTTTCTAGTCTGAAACTTGCATTTGAATGCCTGAATTGGTAGGATAAGTGTTTCTCTCTGCTGGCAACAAGAGCTGAAATGAAATGGAACTGATCTGCTGCAACTAAATTCCTATTGAGCACAGATTCATAGCATAAAAAGCCACTTAATCTCGTACCAACAAAGAATGCCCAGGAGGCTATGAAGTTCAGCAACATATTGGGATTGAGCACAGTCAATGCTGCACTTGACCTGGGAGTGTTTTATGCTGATGCTGCACATAAACAATCAAACCATTTAGTTTGCCTTTGATCATCCTGGCAGTTGCATAATAAAACAATTAAGGAGCTGCTGATCAACCAGGGCACCCGATCTCTACCAATCAGGCTACAACCAACCAAGACACGCCATTTACAGAAACCTTTGGGAAACCCAAATATATTTTCCCCATCCTTCACCGTGATGGAGAATGAATTATTTTCTAAGGTTTTTATTAAAATATGTAATTAGCAGAAAGTTTGAAGGTTCTGATAACTTACCTGAAAAGGATTGAAATCAAGTGCTCTAACTGGACCAGTGTGCGTGTTATTCTGTCCAATCACAACATCCTCTCCTCCTGCTATAATTTCGGATGGATTGTACAGGATCACATTTCCATTTTCACCACCAGCAACTAGAACACCAGAGGATTGGCCACCCGTTGTGATTTCATGAGGACTCCAGATAAGCTTATGGTACCTTAGGAACAAATAAAAATATGAAAAATATAAAAGTATGATTGTGCTGAGTTGTAGAGTCCAAAAAGAAAATCCTGCATTGACTTCAGATTTGAGTTGAGAAAGATGGAGTTCAATGAGTTCATTTGTTATATCAAATCTACAGCAGAGAAACTGGCCATTCAGCCTATCTGCTCCGTGCACTCCACACATGCTTCCACCAATCACTCTTCACTTAACCCTATTTGCATATCCTCCATTCTCTTCTCCCATGTGTTCCTTTTAGAAGTATCTATGAAGGAGTTGAAAAGACAGGTCCCAGAGAATCTGTAACTGTTAGTTCTCCCAGTCATAATCTTGTCGGTGATAATGCAGCCCCAAATGTAAGATGCTGGAAGAATGGTGACGGCAAGTCCCACAGTCTGTTGTTACAAACTAGAAACATCCAGCTCAACAGCAAAGAAAAATTCACCACTTAACTAACCAATAGCAAACAGTGGAGGGATCGAATCAAATATAATAAAATACGGATTAAATGAGGATAACACTGATTTTACCTGTGTGGGGAAGAGAAGGAACCACATGATTTCATATCCAGGGTACAGTCAGCCAGATCCAACTCGAAGATCTCCAAGGAAGCATTTGTGCTGAATGTAGCATCCAGCTGCTGGGCTGAGGTGCCTATGTTAAAAGTTAGGAAGAATATAAGAATACGGCACATTTTTTCTTAACAAGGTCACTGCAGCATAGCACCAAGATAAAGGTAAATTTAGGTTTACTGGACATGAATCAACTGTGTCTTCGCTAATACCAGTTTTTAAAAAAAACACACACACCAGCTGCACAACTTTTCAACCAACTAAAAAGCAATTTCCAGATTCCATTGTTCAGGCAGTCTCCGCTCATGTTCACAGCAAGGTACAGTTTCTATAAAGTGGCTGCAACCCCTATAAATCAGAATTTGTTTTTTATATACTGTAAATGAGAAAGTTTTTTTTAGTTTTCTATCTAGATACAGCAAATATTTCTCATCATTGCATTGCTGATCTCTCCCAATTGCAGAAAAAAAACCATGGTTACAGCAAATAAAAACAGAAAATCCTCAGCAGTTTGAGCAGTATCCGTGAAGAGAGTAACATGCTTAGCACTTCAGGTCCACAACCTCTCAACAGAAGAGATGTAACAAGTTTTAAGCTAGTAAAAATGGGGAAGGTACAAAAAGAAAAGTGAAAGTCTGCAATAGGAGATAAAATTACATAAGAATTGGTCATACCAATTGAAGTGAATGGTAATGACATAGGGGGAGAAGCAAAAAAATAAAATATGCTTCTACAGGAGGCATTAATGGCAAAATGATGAACAACTACCATCCGAAAGCAAAGAAGAGAAAAAGACAGTAAAACCAAAACCAGCAACAAAAAGGAAAACAAAGTGAAGGCAGATATGGTCCGACATTGTTGAACTCAATGTTCAGTCGGGGGGGCTATAAGATTCTTTATCGAAAGATGTAGTTCTTTGAGTTTGTATTGAGGTTCATGAGCAGAGAACAGAGAGGTTACTGTCCAACAATGTCATTTGTCATTCCAATTCACCATCATCCTCTCACACTGATCTCTGTACTCAGCCAACTGCGGTGTCCCAATGAAGCTCCCACAAGGCTTTCAAGGAAAGGCACTTCATCTTTCAATTGGACACTTTATAGCTTTGCCTGCTCGATATGGAATTCAACAATTTAAGGCTATAATCTCTACTCCCACTTTTTTCTTTCCATTTTTGGTCTTACTCTTGTTTTCACTTACAGGTGGGAGCTGTTCATATTTCTGTTAGTCACTCCTCCTCTACATGCACATTTTGCTTCCATACCATTGCCACAGCCTTTCATCTTATGCTATCATTTTTTTTTGCTTAATCTCTATCTTCCACCCTTTCACAAATTACTCCTTGTGTTATTTTCACAACCCTCCTCCTTTCACTTGTTGAAAACCTATTACATTTTTAATTTTACCCAATCCTGGAAACATTGCCAGGTCTCTTTCCACAATCATTGGCTGATTTGTTGAGTATTAACAGCACTTCCTGTTTTTATTGCAGTTTTCCATCGTCCCCAATATTTTGCTGTTGTATTAATGGTTACAGAAAATACCGATCAGGTTAGAACAGTTAATCCTCATTTATTAGATGCAGGTTACAATTACACAGGAGCAAAGGGCAATTAGGGACAGGCAATAAAAGCTAGCCTAGACAGCGAAATACACATCTCCTGAATGATAAAAAGAAACTTTCAACACAATAATGACATGCTGAACTGATCCATAATAATACAATTAGTTTTCATACGACAACTGAGCAACAAAGGGTCTTTCAACAGCACTTCCAAACCCACAGCCTCTACTATCTAGAAAGACAGGATCAGTAGATGCATGGGAACATCACCACCTACAACTTCCTCTCCAAACCACACAAAATCCTGGCATGAAACTGTCGCTGGGTCAAAATCCTGGAATCCTTTCCCTAACAGCATAACAGGTATACCTGCACCCCAAAAACTGCAGCAATTCAAAAAGACAGCTCACTACCACCTTCTAAAGGGTAATTAGAGATGGGCAATGAATTGATAAAATATCTTTGATAGGGAGCATCAATGTTGCTTTGAACACAACTTAAACCTGAAGCGCACAAGACAGCCAACCATTGTTACAGCATTCAGGTTAAGTTTTTAACATCACGGCTTAAATGCTTTACCTCTGACTGCTCATTTAGAAAATTTCTTGATCGTCTTTTAACTAGCTGGGAATTATCATCAAAATAAATGAAACAAAGTATTTTGAAATTTCCAATTTTTGGTACGTCACTTTCTATAACTGCTGCAGTACCACAGGCAACTATATTCCATCTGTCTCCACAATGGCAAACCAGCTCAGTTTACTGTTTCAGAAAATACTCCACAATGTTGATCAAATAAATAAAGCACATATTGCGACTATAGCTCATCATTGCCCCGTCTGTCATTAAGATGCATCAAGCCTAAATCCACTTTCCAGTTCTTGAGTGTAACCCTTTAGGTTAAGACACTTCATGCACATATCCAAGTGATTTTTTAATCTGTAATCTATGGTTGTGCCACTACTACTCATTTGGGCAGTGAGTTCTAGACTCCAACCATCCAGCCAAAACAACAAGGTCCTGTACTGAGGAACACGAGAATGAAGAGCAGACCATCTGACACCTCAAACCTTCTTAACATTCGATCAGATCCCAGTTGATCTCACTGTGGCCTCAACTCCACTTTCCTGCCAATGCCCAAAATCCTGGACTCCCCAGTTAAAAACTCTATCTCCCAACCATAAGCTGCCCTGCTGTCTTAGAAAGAGAATTTCAAAGCCTATGAACCTCAGAAGAAATTCCTCTTCATCCATTCTTTCAATAGGAAACTCTTTAAACTCATTGCTCCACAATGGAAGATATCTTTTTACCACATAGCCTGTCAATTCCCCTCAGAACATTACATATCTCAATAGATTACCCCTCATTTTTCAAAAGCATAGGCCCAACCTGCTCAAAATTTCCCGAAGAACCACATACAGATTACAGCACAGAAAGACACCATTCAGCCCACATTGCAGCATCTGCTCCCTACCTGCAAGTTACAGCACTTCAGCTGCCGATCCAGTTGTCTTTTAAACAAGATTTTGCTTCAATCACCAAACCGGGCAGCAAATTCCAGACAACCATCATTTTCTGAGTGAAAAAACTTTTCCTCATGTCCTTTCTAATCCTCCTCGCAATCAAGTTAAATCTTAAAGACCACACCTTTACCCAAGGAATCAGCCTTCTGTGAACCACTTCCAAAAGGAGTCTCCTCAGTCTCCTTACCCTAAGGACATAAGACTCCAGCGACAGTCTCATTAACACCCTCAATAGTTGCAGCAAGACTTCCCTATATTTATATTCCATCCCCTTACAACAAAAGCCAACATTATTTTCTCTTCCTTATTACTTGCTGTACCTGAAGCTAACATTTTGAGATTCTGTACCAAGTGAACCCAGATCCCTCTAAATCTGCACTACACGTCTCCCATTTCCTTTCCATTGCAGCATTGATTCAGGCACATGTTTATGTAGATTGTTTCACATGGACAACTATACTCTTCTTCTAAGATGAGACGAAGATATTTGTATACCATTTGAATTTCTCTAAACATTAATCATTTGCCAGTAGTTTTCTTACCTGCAGCCAGGTAAATAGGGTGCTGTCGAGCTGGACTCCATGCTTGGATAGCAGTCCGATTGATTTCTTTAAGTTTCATCCTTGCTAGGTGAGCTGGGGAGTAAAGATACCAAATACATCAGTGCTGGGATGGACATAGAAGCATTAAGATAGGAACAGCAGTTACCTAAAATTGTTGAAAATGCGTCCTACAAGCACTAAACGTGTAGAGGCAGTTAGAAAAGTATCTTCACCTTTAAAATTGAGAAACCCAAGAGCCATTTTATAATGCAGTTCTATATCCGGGCTGGTGGTCATGCCAAGGACATAGAACAGACTATGAGGTAAACAGAGTCACAGGTAAACAGAATCATTACAGTGCAAAAGGAGGCAATTTGGTCCACCATGCTTACAGCAGTTCCATTAGCTAGTTCCAATTTCCTGCCTTTCTCCCCCCATGTCCCTGCACACCATTTCTACCTAAATAATCATCCAATGCCCTCTTGAATGCCTCAATTGGCCCCACCTCAGTCATATTTTTAAGCAGTGCATTCCATTCCCTAACTATTCGCTGTAAGAAAAAAGATTTTCTCACATCATCTTTGCTTCGTTTGCACATCACTTTAAATCATTGCCCTTTTTGTTCTTTTCTCACTTCACCAGTGAGAGCAGCATAGAATCACAGAATCCCTACTCTGAGGCCCACTGAGTCTGCACCAACACTCCGGAGAGAATCCCACCCAGACCCAGCTCCCCACCTTGTCCCATCACCCAAATTTACCCTGGCTAATCCACCTCATCTACACATCTTTGGACAGTGGGAGGAAACCAGAGCCCACAGAGGGAACCCATGCAGACATGGGGAGAACATGCAAACTCCACACAGACAGTCGCCCAATGCCGGTATCAAACCTGGATCCCTGGTACGGTGAGGCAGCAGTACTAACTACCGAGCCACTGTGCTGCCCTCCATATCTACTCTATCCAGCCCACTCATGATTTTGAAAATGGCCATCAGAAAAATGTTGCAGTTGAAAGACAGCCTACCAATTAAGCAAAATAATGAATGCACTTGAGAAAAATACTACAAAAAACAAAACAGTACTGAGGAAGGATCACCAGACCCGAAACGTTAACTCTGTTTTTTCCTTCACAGATGCTGCCAGACCTGCTGAGCTTTTCTAGCAACTTTGTTTTTGTTCCTGACTTACAGCACCTGCAGTTCTTTCGGTTTTTATTGAGAAAAATACTAGTTGTTTAAGGTTTTCGGGGTGCTTGGAGCCTTCCTGCATCTTGCCCAGATGATCAGATTTGTCCCGTGTGTGGACCTAAACAGTGACCAACAGCAAATGGCCTAACAGACCATAAGACATAAGCACTGAAGTAGGCCATTCTGCCCATCGAGTCATCTCTGCCATTCAATGAGATCATAGCTTATTTGATAATCCTCAACTTCACTTTCTTGCTTTATCCCCTTAACCTTGATTTACCTTCTGATTAAAATTCTGTTATCTCAGCCTTGAATATACCTAACAGCCCAACTGAGATAACAAGAACTGCAGATGCTTGAGTCAGAATCAATACAGTGTGGAGCTGGAGGAACACAGGAGGTCAGGCAGCAACAGCACAGCAGGGAAGTTAACGCTTCAGGTTGGGCCCTTCATCAGGACCCAGCCTTGTTAGCCCTCCGGTAAAGAATTCCACAGATGCACCACTTTCTAGGAGAAGAAATTTTTCCTGATCCCTGTGTTCCTCGGGTCCTATACTTTCCTAAAAGGGCAAACAACCTCTCCACATCTATTTTGTCAAGTTGCCTAATTTTGTTCTCTTCAATGATCAGGATAACTGGCTCCACATGGCTTTGGGGGCACACAGTACCTGTCCATAGAATTAAAGCTACAAGTGTTTATTTGTACAACTGTAATCCATGAGAAGCTAAAGAACTGCAACACCTGTTATTTGTGAAATCAGAAATGATTTGCTCTAATTGATTATTAAACTCTCTTTATACCATGGGGTCAGAAACCTATTCAACTGAAAGAAAAAAAATAGGTTGGTTCTGAATTTATAGAAAGTTTATAAATAATTTGTACCATTGAGATCATGTCAAAATTGAGCATTTGCTTTATTTGTAATTTTTAAGCTAAGATTCTTGTATGTTTCAAGGTTGCCTCTCATTCTTTATATTCCAATGAGTACAGGCCCAATCTACTCAACCTCTCCTCATGAGAGGATCCCTCTATACCCAGGAGCAATCTAACAAACATCCTCCAGACTGCATCTAATGAAATTATATCCTTCCTCAGGAATGGGAAACTATCCACAGCTATGGCATAACTAGTGTCTTTCTTAGTTTTAGCAAGACATCCCTATTTTCATAATCCATTCTCTTTGAAATTAACGCCAACCTTCCATTTGCCTTCACTAGTACCTGCTTATCTTGAATGCTAGCTTTTTGTAATTTATGCAAAGGACTCCCAAATCTTTCTGTTCTGTATCTTCCTGCAGTCTTTCTCCACTTAAATAATATTCAGCTCCTCTATTCTTCCTGTCAAAAGGCATAACGTCCAGAATTATATCCCATTCTGCCAACTTTTGTCCAATCATTTAACCTATGTCCCTCTGCAATCCTGAAGGCATGAGACATCCAAGCATTAATATCACCCACAAAACTGTCAGTGAGACTCCTCAAACAATCACTGGGTGCAGTAGTTACACAGTCATGTTCAATCACACTAAACTACTTCTCCCAGGTACAGCAAACTCAGGATAATATATAATATTCAATAAAAATTTTAAAATGTTTATTTTACAAAAAAGTTTACATGCTCAGCAAAGTGGATGCTCTTGCCCACATTTTTCAGTAAAGGAAGAGAACAAGTTCAGCCCAAGCTACCTTAAGCTCACCCAATGAAGTTTACAGAAGTGTCATTAATACCAGGAAAAGTCACTAGTTCACCTCCCCGCATATAGAAGGATCTCAGAAGAAGCAGAAAATAAAATACCAAAATGGGAGGAAGAAACTTAATTCTTTTTTTAAAAAAAGTCCTGCCGTTTATTACTAAATTCAAGAAATGTTATCAAAAATACATTAAATAAAGAAATTGATTGCCAAAATTGTTTTTTTTTTATTACATGCAGAGAACACCGAAGTACATCCAAACAAAAAAAGCACCAATCAGCAAAATCCCAGGACTTCACTGCCTGCCAAATAAATACCATGGTGACCAGCCACTTTAACTTACACCTCAACAATCATTAAGAAGCAAGTTGACTCCAACAGATCACTTTGACGATAGCTGACGTAGATAGATAACATTGCTACAGAGAATAATGCAGTCAATCAGCAATATTTCAGTGCACACCCCAATGACGTATTTCAGCGGAAACACTCAAAGAATTTTTTCAATGTTAAAATAATCAATAAGAATTGAAGACAAGATATGTTCAATTGTTAGCAATTCTCCTTATGAAAAGGAGTTACAATGCACACGTGCAAATTATGAGCTGAAGAAATAACTAAATTAAACTCATGACATTAGTTTGATAAGTTTACACTCCTCATCTACATATACACGCACAAAGACACACCCAGATTTTTAATCTGACAGATACAATTAAGAGGAGCAATAGGAGTTTTCACTAAACTGCTTCAAACTTTTGGGCCTTAAGGAAATCAGGTAATGATGCTTACACAAATAAAAATCAATAGAAAATACAGAAGATGGACTAATACAAAGAAATTAGTGGATAGGCAATTAAGAAAAAAGATAGCAATTTTGGTAACACAGATATCTCATTCCAGATAATTATACATTGCAGATATAATGGGCCCAATGTTAACTCTAGGTCTGATTTTAACTAATTACACAATAAAGTTCGATAACTGAACTGTTTACCAGACAGGAAAATGGCTCTTTCCCCTAAAGCTAAAATTCCACTTAGCAGCAAAAGCAGGGAAAGTACTGATCAAATTTCAATAATCTTATTTAAAATTACTTTTATGAGCAAACTTCAGAACTGGGAGATAATTGAGCAGTTTGTTTCAGGAAAGACAGAGCTTTCCTCTGACTTGCGTTATTTCTGGTTCTGCATTTTCCCTCATTCTTAGATTACTCCCCACCCCATTAGGGCAATGTCACCAAGTTTTAAGAGTTAAACTCCACAACTTTGCTTTCACGCATGGGATTTGAACCACAATGGCAAGGCCAGCATTAATTGCTTATCCTTAATTGCCCTTAAGGTAGTGGTGGTGAGCCAGCTTTTTGAATAATTGAAGTGTACCTAGTATAAATATGGCAAAAATGGTATTGGGATTTTGACCCAGTTGCAGTGAAAAGACAGCAATGTATTTACAAATCGGGATGGTGTTGTGTCATTGAGGGGAATTTGGAGGCAGTGTTCCCATGCAGATGCTACCCTTGTTCCTTTCAGTGGTACAAGTCATCAGTCCATTTGTTGTTTAATCTCTCCTGCCTAACATCCAAATGCAGGCTTTCTTTTTGTTCTTTTCTCCTCACCAACTTTCTCTGCCTCTACACTTTGTTAAAAACTGTAAAATTAACTTATTGCCAATTATTTCTCATGAAAGGACATGGTCCTCAAACATTAACACTTTCCTTCACCACAGTGCTGCCTGACCTCTTAAGTATTTCAAGCATTTTCTTTCAGCCAAAATTTCCTTGTCACCATATTCCTACTCACACAGATTCTTTACAAAACAGCAAGACAAATAATTAAACAAAATACAGGATGAGCAAAATTGATGATGAGTGGAAATGGGGAGACATGGAGCTCCAATTTATGAATTCCATGATGGTGGGACTAGTGTGTGATAAAGATAGGATGGAAAAATAATTAAATCTGAAAAATCATACACTTAGCAAAAATCACAAAGCTGTTTCTGATTGAGGGTATGCTGTTGTTAACAGTGGTTGTATTACGAATGACAACCTGCTGATCAAGAACAAACTAACCTCAAGGGCCAACACATGATTACTGTGGATCATGCAATCTGCTATCAAGTTATTCATGACATGTTAAGGCCCACCTCGAGTTTGCTGAACATATCAATGGAGTTACATTGAGACACAAAGTAACACAAATGACACACT